AAGAGTTCTGTATGTTCATAGCATTTGGTTTGATTCATTACATTAAAACTGTGATTACCTATTTAATTTGGGTCAGCGAATACATTTTCTAGTTTAATATGAAACGGTGAGATTAAACCATGGCTTGCTGGCTGAGGGAGAACTTGTCTGATTGTCTCGTACTGATGAAGAGCCAAAAATTATGGTGAGATGGATTGATTTTGTTTCGTGTATTGTACCATCGGTAAGGATAATTTGTTGCAACTTGCAATTTCCGTTATGATGAATTTCGTTTTTCCTTAGAGCAACACTAATTTTTACCTATGCTTCAGCTTATTTAATGGGTATTACATTCCAATTAGGTATATACTACAAATATCTTCGAGTAATGTGCCTTTTTTTTTCTTGGTAATTAGTGTTGTAATTTTTTGGGGCATTTATTGGCTGTAATATTCTCGTCATGTTGTGAGTTTGATGTCGTTGTATTGCTTTCGCTGGCCGTGCTAGTTTGTTGTCCTCAAATTTTATTGAGAAGGCAAAGACTAGGCTTTTACCTGCATAGTATATAAGAAGAAATTGGAATGTATTGAGTTTATGTTACTCAATTATAAAAGAACATGATTTTTATAGTAATTAATTTACAAGTTATATCATACATAACAAATGATTTTTATAATACTATTACTCTTCGATTTGTTGCTGTTACTGGCTCAAAAATATTTTACACGAGTTTTAACGCAAAATCTTTAGCTAAATATATCGATTACACTTGTCGCAGTGAGGTCTTATACTACTGTTGTTAACCCTTCGGGTCAATTTTTGTTTTGCTACTTCTTAGTCTTATCAGTATAAGCTTAGTTTTTATTTGTAAAATGTATCCTCTATTATGTTTTCGCATACATATTATGTATAAGCTATAGTTTTGACGGTTTGTTGGTCATATGATTAAGTCGTTATTTGTTATATGATTATGTCTTTGCTTGTGAATTTTCTGGTTAACTTCTATACACGGACAATGTGAAAGGAAATTCATTGAATATTGATTGCAAAAAAACATTTTTATGTTTTAATTATTACTAGATTTTGTACTTCATATGATATATATAGGTTTATAATACATTTATTTTTTATATTATTAATTACTTATGTTGTATTAGCAATACTATTGAATAATTACTTTTTATGCTAAGTCTATATTTATTAAAAATGTTAACTTATTTTAGTATTTAAACAATTTACTTCATATTAATTTAATTGATAAAAATAATGCAACATTTTTCAGAATTTAATTCCAAAGATGAAGTAAAATAACTTAATTATTTCTGTAAGTTTAGCTTTAAAATATTCAACTATTTATAGTTAATGTATGCATTTTTAACACACCTTGAAAAGTGGAGCATAGGAGTCAATACCGTAACTTTGTTGGAGGTTTATTTTGATGTTTTGGTTTTAATTTTAGATAAAATATTATAATTATAATATTTGACCTTAATGTTGAAATTTCATATAGTATTTATTTTTATAATATTTTTCGTATTTATTTGATAAATATTGTACTTTGTTTTGTACTTTATGCTATATATACGAAATTTTTCTAGTTAATACTTTATACTATTTCATTGAACTGTATTTTAATTAATTGAATTGCAGATAATGAGAATGAGTATGGGGATTAGATACCTAGTTGGTATAGAGATAGAGACTAAAGTAGTTAACGAATAGTATTGAAACGAGTACGGGTAGTTTATAAAAACATAGATATAGGGATAATGAGAATGAGTATAGGGATATAAGTACCTAGGTGGTATGGAGACAGGGATTAAAGTAAATATCCAACCAGTATAGCAATATAAATAATCTTTTAAAACATGGATATAGACAATACCGTACCCAAACTCTAACTTACCACTACTTTGTAAAGGCATCGATTAAAATCAAAATAGTTTGCCGGAAGTTGTCAGCAATTCTAGTATCACCTGTATGATTCAACTTTTATCATTGTTGAGATTATTACAGTTCCTTTATTCACTTTCGGCCAAGATTTGTCTTTATTTGTTAGGATTATTAAAAAAAATTAATGTTTGCCGTATGATTGATATCTTAAAAATTAAAAAGTATTTATATATTTTTAAAATAAATTATTAATTATATTATTTATTAATATAAAATTAATAATAATAATTATTTTACATATTTTAATTATCTGAAAATGTAGAAATTACAAAAAAAAAAAATCATTTACCAAAGAACAAAAAATTATCAATTGCTAGGATAGTTTTTATTAATATATTCTTTCTCTAACCAAAAATAATTTGATAGTATAAATTTAAAATTTTATACTAACAAATAATTTTTTAATAAAAATATTCATATATATTATTAATATATTAAGTATTAATATAAAACATAATTGTTCTTTATAAATCTTTAAATTTTATTCTAATAATATATTTTTTGTTAGATAAAGAAAATATTAATAAAGATTGTTTTAACACTTAATAATTTTTGTGTGATATTAAATAATTATATATTTATAGACGTGTATTTAACTAATGAAATATGGAGAATAATGCATGATAAAATATTGAATTTTATTTTGCAATTCTTTATTTTGGTATCGATTTTTTTATAATCAATTAATAGTTTTTTTACGCAATTTAGGTCCTTTAAAGTAATTACACAATTAGTGCATTTTTATACTTTTGCTTAAACAAATTTTTTTTTATCTAAGTGAAAGTGTAAAAAATGCACTAACTATGAAACATAATTTATGTCAAAACTACGAGGCATCTCGATCCTTTCTTACGTAATTCATTTTTTAAATAAAATTTTATTATATTTTTTATTTTTTTATTAAGATTATGTATAATTTTGATTTATTTTTTTAACCAATTAACTTTATTTTAAAAATTTAGCAAACTTGGTCCTTACCATTTTTTATTTAAAATTTTTAAATTCTTATTTTTTTATCAAAAAAATTGGGAGTTTATCCTAAAGTTTAGGATATAAAATAATTTTGAAAGTTTAGAAGGTAGAAATTTAGTGAAAATTTACTAAAATTTGAAGGATTTTGTAGAATGTGGGTTTGAAGAGTAAGAAAATTGATTTTTTTTAATTTATTTTGGATTAAAATTGATATGTTGGTTGAAAAATTTTGAGCAGAAGACAATTTAAAATAATTCAATTGATTTGATTTGTAAATGTTTTGAGTGAAAAAATGAGCAGTTAAGAGTTTTAGGTAAATTGTTTATAAAAAATAACTAAATTTGGTTTTAAAAACAAATGAATTTAATTAGTTTGAAAATAATTAAAAAAACCAAAATTATGTGTAATCCATATTAAAGAAAACAAAACTGTAATTAAATCTTCAAACAAAGAAGGAAAGATTGGCATATTATTAACTCATTCAACCACTAGGCCTACATTTTTTTCAATAACAAAATACATTTACTTTGCTTGATAATAGTAAGATAATCACTAGTAGCATATTATCATAGAATAAGGGATATTCTTTCCCTTTTGAAGTTAATTATTGAAGGATCTATGACTATAACACAATACTTCACTCAATTGAAGAGGGACTCAAAAGAGTTAATAGATTTTTGGTCAATCTGCACATGCACACGTGCAGGAACATTATCATATAGTTTTAAGAAAAATAAACAGTAGAATGATAGCCAAAGTTTCTTTGCTTAGCTATAGCGTATTATTCTTATACCAAGAATATGCTTAGCAACTCTCATATCTTTCATGATAAATGACTCACCTAATTACTTCTTCATCTTGCTAATCCTAAAAGTAATTTTTCCAACAAGAAGTATGTCATTAACATATAATAACACAATAATAAGATTATCATGAGAGAACTTTTTCACAAAGACACAATAGTCAGAAGTTATTTAATTATTGCCTTACTCTCACGTAAAAGACTCAAACTTCTTATATCACTGCCTAGGAGCTTGTTTCAAACCATATAGACCTTTTTTAGCCTACACACAATCTTCTTTTTTTTTTTTTTTTACATAAAAGCCATTAAGTTGCTTCATAAAAATCTCTTCTTTCTAAATCACCATGAAGGAAAAGGGTTTTCACATACATTTGCTCGAGTAGCAACTAAACTCAAAATGGCTCTAATGGACGATATCCACCTGTTTTTTAAAATCATCTTTCGTGTAGGCAATTTTACCAAGTCATAAGTGTGATTATTATGCAAAGATTTCATCTCATCTTTTATTGCATTTAGTCATTGTTGTTTTTCTTCATTCTCCAAGGCATCTTCAATACACTTAAGTTCTCCATCATTAGTCAACATCACATAGTCATTAGAAGAATACTTGGAAGATGGTTTCTTTTGCCTGTTCAACACCCTAAGTTTGACTTGAGGTGGTTTGAGAGCATCAGCAAAATTCTCATCTTATGTGATGTATGAATTGCTTGATTCTTTTGAATGTGCGGATTGTTCCTAGAGCAACTTCATTCACCAATCCGTGATTCCTTGAAGAATAATGCAATCAGACAAGAATTTTTAACGAAAAAGTGGAAGAAGAGTGAGATGGATATTGGTGCCACTCTCAAAGGGAAATAAGTCACAAGATCTTCACCATGATGGAAGGATCCACCAATAAGAAGTAAACTCAAGGTCTCTACCTAAATCACTTCAGAGAAAAGAAGTTTCTCAAAACTCACTAGATTTCATCAAATCTAAAAAATGAACCAAAGTTACCAAAATACAAAGGAAAAGTGCCTTAAATAGACAACAAGCTACACTAGCTATTGGGCTAGGCCTAACTACACAAGAAGACAAAAGTTCAATGTTACAAAATAGACTATGAGACCTAAGAATCATGAATAGTATAAGAGAAATAGGAATAGATCTTCAAAGTGTGGCCTTCTATGGGCTTGGGCCCAAGGTACCTCACTAGGCCCACAAGCTTGCCTAGGACTTTTTTGGTTTTCTTAACCCTTGACCTAGTCATAGGGTCTTGAAGTTCCTCCAAAGCATCATCTACTTGACTCAAGCTCTACAAGCTAGTGAGGTCCTCATCATGCCCTCCTTCTTCAAGAGGATTTGTCCTCAAATCCAAACCATCATCATCCTCACGGTCATCTGCAAAATAAGGACAAAGATCACATATATTGCAAGTAGCAATCACTCCATACTCACTGGATAAGTCTAACTTATATGCATTATTGTTGATCTTTTCCACTATTTGAAATGGACCGTCCCCTCTAGAGCTTAGTTTGGACTTTCTTTGAGAGGGAAACCTTTCCTTTTTCAAATGAAGCCAAACCCAATCTCCTATATCTAGCGATACCTCACATCTTCTCTTGTTAGCTAACCTAGCATAATGCTCATTTTTTTTAGTTATTTGGGCTCTAACCCTCTCATGTAGGCTTTGCACATATTCGGCCTTAGCCTTCCCATCCCTATGCATAATATCATTAGAAGTGGATAAGGGTACTAAGTCTAATAGGGTAAGAGGATTAAACCCATAATGCATTTTTCAATAAAGACCATGAAAGATATAAGGTTAAGGGGGACAAATTTAATTTGCATGCTTAATAAATCAATATACGACCTAAGGCAAACATCAACAGTGATTCACAAAGTTTTCTATTGCTCTTAAGTTAAGATGATTTTAAACAATCCAAAAATGATTGTTCTCTTTTTACACATGGTACTAAATCATTATCAGTTCCTCTCTTACTTTGTGTTAATGATATATAATCCTTGCAAGTCTATATACATCAACAATCCATAAAGTCTAGAACAGGATGTAGACATTGTTCAAGTTTAAGGTTATTAGATATTAGAAGTATTTTCTTGGTCTTGAACTTGTAGAATGCTCACAAGGGATATATCTATGTCAAAGGAAATATGCACACACTATTCTTAAAGACACTAGATATTTGGACTTGAACCCTACAACTTTAACAATGGATCCTAGTTGAAAGTTAAGCCTATTCTTGACACTGTGACTGTGACCAAAGAGAAAAAATAGAAAATCAAATACAAGAGAGAATAGGAAACAAAGATAAAAGGAATTGCCACCAAAATTTAAAAAAAAAACCTAAAAAATTTTTAAAAAAATGGTTTGTTTAACCACATTCGAGTTTGAGAGTCTAATTATGTGCGGAAAAAATATTAGCACCACATAATATCTGTAAAACCGGTTACCCTAATTTGTGCAAAAATTAATGTTTTATTTCATTCCTAAATTTTCTTATTTGATTTAACAAAAGAAATAAAACATGAAGAGAAAAAAAAAAAGATGTTAAAATAATTTTGTTGGATACATTTTGATATTCCCACTCTTACATATTTTTCAATGCAAAGAGAAAATTAGAGTTATGTAGTTCTAAAAGAAAAACCATTTTCAAAAGGTGTAGAATTAAAAGTGAAAACATTGTTGAAAGACTGTAAAGACTAAAAGTCAAAAATATTTTTTGAAAGGCATATAGAAATAGAACTAAACCCTTTGAAGAAGTCAAAATATTTGGGATATTGTATTTTATATTTTTGGCTTTACTGAAAATTGAATAGAGAATTTTATTTTATGATTGTATGATTTGTAAATGATAATATAATTTATACATCAATGTCACTAACTGTTACTAGAATTAGAAAAATTAATTTTTGATATTTAAAAATAGAATATCATCTAATTTATATGCACAAGCTAATAAACAGTGTAATTAAATTGACAATTTTACAACATGCGAATAATAGAGTAATCTATATATTGCATTTATAAATCGTGTGAATAAGAACAACTTTATTTAAAATAAAACAAAAAAAATTTAGTATATATACTTGAATTTTTAGAGAAAAGGTATTTTTGCTTGTTTCCAAATATACAAGAAAGTATACATTTTTAACTTTGTGATATGATGTGATATATAATCGATAGAATAATTTAAATACATCACATTCGTAATCCTATAATTTATTTTAAAGAGGGTAAATAAAACACTAATTCACTGTGAATCATTTTAATTATCACCATTTTAGTTCAACCCCAAGAAAAACATACCAATTACATATAATTGTTAAAGAAAGAAAACTCGTAGAAAAGAAGGCAAGAATTAAGATATTTATAAACGAATAAACACTTTTCCAAACTTGGACTTTACAAAACCGAAGAAGGGAAGAGCAATTTCCAATTTCAATTACAAGCTCAACATTTTTCAGATTTATTATGAATTTAACATCTTGTATAAAAAAGTGACATCCTTAACTGGAATAAGACATGCATGTGCCGTGTTTTATCGTTGTGTGTACAATTGACCAAACACTCACTTTATTGGATACAATTAATAAAAAGCCAATTCATGTAAGTAATTTCTAAAAAACAAAAAAAAAAAAAAAAACAAAACCGATGCACACAACCATCGATTTTCCTTAATTACCTTATTCGTTCATCCATTATTGTTATTCTGTTATTATTAATCATGGATAAAATTCAAAAATTTGATGCAACTTCATTTCTAAACTGGATTGCAACCTAAACTCTCATTTCCTTCACAATGACCTTTATTACATGGTTTAAACCCACAAATCAAGGCTTACACTATTCAAACTTATGCAAGAAACAGCAAACTTTAGGCCCCTAGGAATTCTTGAAACCTCTGTCCAACATTTTCAACAGCAAGACAATAAAATTACACATCTCAAACATGGAGCATATGAATGAGTTGGAAAGCACAAAAGCAACATAATTCAAATCAATGTTAAAGTCATATAAGCTTTATGCTATTCGTAGTTAATTCTAGGATGTTCGAATGGCTAAAAGAAAACACATTTTCAGCTAATTTGAGTAAGTGCTTGAAGACAATTTCACACCAACTATCATCAAGAGAAAGAAATTAACCCCTTTTTTAAGTGCGAAACAGTCAAAGGGTGTTGTAGAATTGCAAAGAAAGCATTCTATTTGAAGTTAGTTTAATTGGTATGAAAAACATGCATCCAGGTATCAATTCTGTAGAGATACTTATGCCTATGCAACTAAGGTGTTCTATTCCTTTAATCACTTCCTTTTCATGTGTGGATTGCACAATGATTGATCATGAAAAAGAGAAATCAAAGATAAATGTGGAACATTGAGATACAAACTAAGCTCTTTCTTGCTCAAATTTTAAACACCTAACTTTGATTCTTTTGTGTTTTTACTTACAATCACAAAGAAAGAAAAATCTTCCAAATCATACCAGGCGTACAAATGCAGTTTATGTCTTCACCCAGAACAAGTCATCTTATCAAGTCCGTCATCTTCTTAGATACCTGAAGTCCATCCTTGAACAAGCAGTTGATTGGGGATCTGTTTGTATAGCGTTGCAACTCCGTTTTGTGAAAGTAAAGTAAAAAATGATTTTCATTTGTTGTGCCTCATAATTCATGTGTCCGTTGAGTATGTTTACTTGACGAATAGCCAAAATTGCTGTGTAGGAGATCATGCTTCAAAATGGGAAAGTAAATTGGGAAAATGATACGATAGCTCACTTTTCAAGCAATATTTTATGACACTAAATTACTGCGTTAAATTCCCTTACTTAAGTTTATGTTTAGAAACACATTGAAAAACCTGTAAACATGAATTCAACGCAAAAACAACTAGTAGCAATTAAGCAAAACGTAGATCTATGGTCATTCAAACTTGAATTCAGACATGCAATATCATACCACAACAAACTCCTAAGCACCTAAATAATTTCTTTTTCACCTCAATTTCAGTTGACAATAGCCTCTCATAATGGTTAGTAAATCATCAATCACCAGATTAAAGTCCAACTCCAACCCCAACCAAATTATGGAGCAGAACCATTTTCAAAATTCCAGAGGTAGATATAAAGCTTAACAGGATTTCCTTCCATACGTTTTCCATGTAAATCAATCTACATTGGATTTCTGATTATCAGTCACATGTATTAGTAAATCCAATTGATTTTCTCAGTAAAACCTTACACTCAGCTGCAAAGCTGCAAATTAAGCAGCTGAATCCTACAAAGTAAACACTTCACTTTCTCTCTGAGGAGGCAGGATATCAGTACATGTTGTTAACATAACAAACTCAGCTTATAAAGCATATATCTTCTCAAGATCAGAATTATAATCATCCACATCTGATATATTTACTGAGTAAGACCATGAAAATGATTTGCTTCCACTTGCTCTCTTCACTAATCTCTGGGAATCACTAAAAGATCCAAAATGTTGGCGGAAAACAAAGTAGCACAAGTATGCTAGAGTCCCAACTAAAATTGGTGCTCCGAAGAGGGTGACACTAATAGCCAACCATGTTTCATCTCCAACAACCACAAAAGCTATTGCAAGAAAAGCTCCACAAGTGCAGGCACATGCTGCCCACATTAGCTTGTTCATAACTGACACAACCTGCTTTTGAGCCCTTGTATCCCAAGCCACCAAAGTGATCTGAACAACCACAACTGCAAGAGAAATGAAAAGAGCTGTGGCATTCAAAAGGCAGAAAACACTGAATGAAACATCGTCAGCTATGTTTGCCTTCCCTGCCTCTGGTTGCTTCTTTCTATATTGACCAGGCAAACTGAATAAAGCCACAAATGCTATTGAGCCAAAAAGGACAGCTACTACTGTAACAGAATTGATGGTGTTTTGAACTGCCTCTCTATGAATTTTCTTCAACTCCTTAGCAATGCCAGAAACTCGTTTGCGAGTTTTTTCATTCTGTATGAGCTGTGACTGCACCTCATGCTTTATATCACTCACAGCTCTTTTGAGTTCCATGGCTTCATCCACCTTGCCAATGTGCCTGGCATGCTTGGCTCCACATTCTGTAAGGGCCTCGTTGATTTCCAAAGCTGAATCTCCATATGGAAGTTTATCTGCCAAATCCAAGGCAGTTTCCTTTTGATTATTGATGGCATTGACATTCATAGCTGTGTAGGTTAACAAAAGGCTCACTATCTGAAATAAGGAGAACCATTTGTCAATAGAGGCAGGAATAAATCATTGCCAGAAAGGAATGTACACATGCATTTTGGTGACGGTAGGAAGAACTTACAGGGGTTTATGGAAATAGCTTTATAATTTGATAAGCTACTTTTTTTTTAACTTATTCTGATAAGTCTGATAATAAAATTTATGCCATAAGCCTGAAGTCTAAGACTTCATAGAATACATACTTAATTAAGTTGTTTACTCAAATGTTCCCTTTGTCTACTATCTATAGTAGGGTATCAAGTTGTGAGTAAATGAACCTCATCTCACCTTTATTCAGATGAGGATAGTGTGGAGATAAATAATCCAATCCACATGTATTCTTCCTGATAAACTGCAGGTTCACACATAGCCCATTTCTCAAAATCCAAGACTGACAGGGTGGTGGTGTTTTATTGTTACTATTTACTAGCATATAAAATCACCGGATTAAAATCCCTAGCTAAGTTACCTATAACTAAAGTTGATTAATAATTGCTTGAATTGCTACTTCTTGAACTGGATTTTTCTGCATATTATTATTCACTCTAGTCCAGAGCATTCAAGAAAAATATGCCCTACTAATGCAAGGTGAGGCATCGGTAATCTCTTTAAAGGGTATAACATGTTCTGGTTACAAGAATTAGGTATTTTACAGTTTGAAAAGTGCAATATTAGAGAATGAACATTAGTTTTACACTAGTAGAACCCAGAACCTATAAAAGCAGGGTGAGAGGGGACAAAGACATCATCTATAACTTAACATTATATCACATCTGATTAGGTGAAGTCTCACTAACTTTCATCCTGTGTCATCTGGCATTTCCCGATCATTGGTACAGTTAATTTTCAAAAGAAATTGTTAACAAAGCTCTCGAGCACTCTTATTCATTAAACTACTTAAACAAGGCTGAAACTTCTTCTGAAAAGGCAAATCTTAGAATGAGCTAAGTCAAGATGCATATGTTTATTCTCAAGATTCCAAAAATGATGAGCAAATGCATGTATAGATGCTGTAACAGGATAACGTGCATGAAAGAACGAACTGCCACCTGATATTGTTCATGGTCAAGAAAACAAAGGTGACAATTACAGGATCATGAAATATTGGATGGACCAGTTTATTATAACAAAACTGAAGCAAACATGGTATAGAAGAAATCAACAACGGTTCTATTGACCTGTGAACGGGCTTTCCTGGTAGCCATGTGAAGAGCTGTGTTACCCTTCTTATCTCTTTCGTTCAATATTGTCAGGTCTGCTTGTAATATTTCCTCCACCACTGAAGTACTCTGTCCTTTCACAGCCATATGCAGTGCTGTTTGGCCCTTTTTGTCTTTGGTGCAGACTATTCCTGGATCCCGCGCAATAAGTGCTTTCACGATGCGAAGGATGCCATACCTAGCAGCATTGTGCAACGCAGTTTTACCATTTTTCCTCACTATCATCATTGAACTCACATCAACATCCAATATTGCATTCACTACATCCAAATGATCTTGAACAGCAGCTGAATAGAGGGGGCTAGTGTTGGAGGAATCACATAACTTGCAAACTTCAGGCCAAGTGCTCAAAATCTCCCTCACAATATCTGGACAAAGATTGACAATCAAACACTGAGGTTTGTAAGGTGTTTCCTATAGAGTTTAATATTGAGGTTGAAAGGGCAAACCAAAATTCGTAATAACTCAAGTTTGCAACATTTGACAATGAGGCTGTCTCATTTTGGTTATGTAATTCTGGCAAGACCTTTATAGAGCATTTGCTTAATGTATTGCTTTTTCATTCCTGGGAATCTTTACATGGGAATGTGCGCTTACACATCTCTAATATACTGAAAACATTTCCACTTAAAATTGATTCTTGGGAATGAGTGCTATCATTGGGAGATGTTCCAGGTTTATCCCAAAGAAAAAAAAAATGGATTTATACTCTTTTGAATTCTCTCATAGTTAAAAATCTGTGAAGCCACTGAAGCTAAGTGCATACTATCAACCAAAACTGTAAATTTCATATTTTGTTTCAAGAAAGAAAAACTTCATCTTTTAAAGTGAATTTGGTTTAATAATCCACTAATCGCAATGTTATCCATAATCAACCCCACCCAATTGGAGAGAGAGAGAGAGAGAAGATGAAAGTGAAGAACCAAAAATCAAATGAAAGGGAGAAAAAAATACCCAAGTGGCCACGCTTGGCTGCAACATGAAAGGGGTTCATATCAGATTTGGACCTGATTTTCATGACCTCAAAGTCACAGAAACTGAGCAAGAAGCTGAACACCTCATTAAGACCATGCTCTGCAGCTATGTACAACATAGTTTCCCCTGCATCGCTCTGCATGCACATGAGCTCAGAAAGTGATGATAATGATGACGGGGATGATGACCCTTCTGAAGATGATTCACCCTTGTTCTTCAGCTGCTGCTTCAGCCCTTCAAGGTCCCCAGATCGAACAGCGTTGAAAATGGCTTGGTGGGTTATGAAGCACATAGCCTTTGAGTCCATATCCTTATCCTGCAACTGCAACTGCAACACACACGATTATATTTCTCTTTTCTTTGTTTGAACTTGGTTGTTATGCTTTTACATGCACTTGAAATCTGTGTTGTGATGTTCTACACCAACCCTTCTTGTGTTTCTTTTCCAAACCAGAAGAAGAGATAGGGAAGGAAACGCATGTGAATGAAGAGGGAGTATCTAAGTGGAAGAAGGAACTGGTGAAGTTCAGGACAAAGTGGTGGTGTTTTTCAATCATGTTTTTTTTATTTAGTGAGGGACCCTAACGATCATTTTTATAACACAACATAACTTTTGTTATTAATTAAAATTTATCAAACACTACTAAATCATTCCTTAAGTTAAAAGCTAATAACAGTGAATAGATTAAAATATGTATTTTACCTACATTTCTTCTTTTTCTATTTGAACATATTTTTTAAACTTTTTTCTTAAATAAAGGTTATAATATCTTTCAAGAATTTCTTATTTGATTTTTTAAATAAATTTTTAATAATTTTTTTATTTTTTATTAGTAATTTGTTAATTTTTATTTATTTATTTGACATTTAACTTGTACCTTATAATATAACATAAATTTGATAAAAATGATAATATAATATGAAAAGCATGATGCTTTAAGAGATTATGTTGAAAAACATTAAAAAAAATGTCAAATTAAGAGATTATGCAGAACAAAAACTTTATTTACCAAAAAAAATGGATAGCTATTGTCTCTGAAATTTGTTAAAAGGCATTTTGAATTTGCAATTGTACAGAACAGGCGTTTTATTATTTGGTGTTCATCTGTTTGGTTTAGGATGGTGGGGTCTCATTGCACAGATGATCCATGTGAGTTGAGAGTGGTTATATTTAGTATTCTTTCTTTTCTGTAAGCAGATTCCTCTTCCATTATCAAATGCTACAGTGCCTGTTCCTTGTCCTTGTCGGTTATGAGTTTAAAAAGTTGCACTTGCTTAACATGTAAGCTCGTTTTGTTCATATTTTTTTAAGATAAGTTTTACGATATTTTACAAATTAAAAGGATATTTTATATATTTTTTATATATAAATTAAAGTTTGAATTTTGAAGTTGTTACTTACTACGAGCTTTATCAAATTATACCCTTCATTACAAGGTTAATCTTACATTTTATTTGTTGGGATTTCCAATTTTTAAAAAATTACTTGTGACGGTATAATATTCATGCTGAATTTAAGTTTTATAATTAAGTCCTGGTGAGTTTTAAAACTAATAAATTTTTATATATTTTCTGAATATTACTATTTTATTATTATGATGTTTAATAATATTTAAATAATTTCAATTTTTTTAATTTGAAAATGTTAAGTTTATAATCATTACTGTGACATTAACAACTAATAAAATATTACGACAAAATTACCAAATAAAAATTTATTCTTAATTATATTTATTTTAAACAAATAAATTATCATCATAATTATAATATTAAATAGTTAACCAAAAATAATAATACTTATTTCATAAAAGTGCAAAAAATTTAATGCATAATACAATGTAAAACTCTATCAAATCAATTGACTAACTGGATAAACATCTTCTAATAACATCCGATTTAACTATTGAATGACCTAACTGGTGTAAGTTATGTATATTTAATGAAAGGATAATAATTATAATGAACAAAAAAAAAAGTTAATAATACATGAGTGATTTGCAAATAAAGACTTTATTACAATAAAATGTGTTAAATCAAGTAAAATAACTTTATCTGATAAAATTTTTAAAGAATATTAGTATAAATTAAAAGTAAAAATATTTTAAAGTCTATTTGTTTCTCTTTTTAAAAATAAAAAATAATAAAAACTTGTTCGCTAATCAAATTTTTAAAACTTAATTTTTTATTTTCAGTTTTAAAACTAAGAAATAATAATAAATAATAATAGCTTTTAAGTGTTTTGGTTTAAAATTTTGAAAACTAAACTAACAAATAAGTTTTATTTTTATTTTCTTCTTAAAAATAATTTTCTAAAATAATTTTAAAATATATTTTTTTAAAATTAAAAATTAAACAAGCCCTTATATTACAAAACAATAATTTTTTTTAAGTCATATTTTTTTAAGATATAATACGCATAGATAAAATAACAAATAACTTGTTAAATATTAAAAATTTAAAAACTTTAATATAATAAGAGTCTCACGTAAAAGGGCTAATTCTTTACCTTACTAGTGTCTTCTCTTACTTAAAGGTGACTTTGCTTCATCGGGTAGAGCCTTTTGTTTTGCACTTCTATTAGCGGAACCTTACTTACTCCTTATGCATGTTGAGATAGATAACTATTTATATTTTTTTTATTTTTTCTTCCCAGTGCATAAAGGACATCTAAGAGTGTCATTCAAAGTTTTAACCTTAACTATTTATGTGGTTCTAAGTATTCTTTAGAGTTGTAGTCTATTGGAGCTTTGCAAACAAATACAAAAATCAGTTAAAAAAGAAGGGTTATGTATAATTTGAGGTGGTCAAAAAGTTCCAAACGTGTCAGCCTAAATTTCCAAAAATAATTAAGGGACTTTTCAAAAAACGATAGAAAAGTAACACTACTACTGTGTGACAAGCAAAAAAATTTTACAAAATGACTATGGAGCATAAAACATTCCCACATAGGCACACAGATTTGTAATTGACTTGAGAGAAACTTAAAACATCACAACTCTGTTGTAATTGTCTTTATTATCTAAGCATCAGATATGTTAGTTATCATCTATGCTACAGAGTTTGAATGAGCAATGTTTTTAATTAATTTGTCATTTTATTCCGTTATTAACAACTTTTCTAATTACAAGATCCCTTAATCATTTTTAACTCTTTTCATTTCATAATTTAATACAATAACAATAAATGACAAAAGAATAAAAAAACTGTTATAAAACGAAGGTAAAATTATAAGAAAGAATAGAGAAAAAAAATATGAAGAGAAAGAGAGAATCTCAATTTTATTTCATATATCCTCAATACAAATGAGACACCTATTTATAGGCCTAAAACTATAACTGAAGAATCGTATCTCTTTGAATAAGAATTAAACAAAACAGTTACAAAATCATAAGTTACAAAGAATAAGGAAGAATTATGAATATAAACATTCACTCATATAATAATTCATAACACTCCCCCTTGAATGTCCATTATTTGAGAATATGTTTCATAACATCTAACTAGGAAAAACTCAATGGGATAAAAGTCTAAGAAAAATACATTATTATTTACGCTATTACATGCTGCCTCATTAAAAACCTTGCCAGGAAAACCCAATGGGAAAAAACCATAGCTAAAGAAAAAAGAGTATAGAGCGTATTAATTCTCCCCCTAATGTGGACAATCATTTCGAAGAAGACGAAGTCTAATCTTGTGAACTAGTTGTTCAAAAGTTTTACTTGGAAGTGACTTTGTGAAAATATCTGCTAGATTCTCACATGAACGAACTTGTTAATTATTTATATCACCATTCTTTTGAAGATCATGGGTAAAAAAGAATTTTGGAGAAATATGCTTTGTTCTATCTCCTTTAATGTACCATTCTTTCAATTGAGTAATACATGCAACATTATCTTTGCATATAATTGTTGGGGTCATTTTTTCTGAAGATAAACCACAAGTTTCTTGCACATGTTGAATCATAGATCTTAACCAGACACATTCTCGACTTGCTTCATGTAATGCTAAAATTTCTGCATGATTGGATGATGTAGCCGTTATAGTTTGTTTCATAGATTACCATGAAATGGCTGTACCACCACATGTAAACAAATAACCTATTTGTGATCTACCATTATATGCGTCAGACAAAAAACCCGTGTCTGCATAACCAATCAACTCAGATTTAGATTTGTTTGGGTAAAATAAACCCATATCCATTGTACCTTTAAGGTAACGAAATACATGTTTAACTTCATTCCAATGTCTTCTTGTAGGTGAAGAACTATAACTTGTTAATAAGTTAACAGCAAATGATATATCAGGTCGTGTATGACAAGCAAGATACATTAGTGCTCCAATTGCACTAAGATAAGGTACTTCAGGACCTAGTAGTTCTTCATCCTGCTCCCGAGGTTTGAAAGGATCTTTGTTTACATCTAATGACCTTACAACTATTGGAGTACACAAGGGATGTGATTTATCCATATAAAATCGTTTTAACACTTTTGAAGTATAAGTTTCTTGATGCATAAAAATTCCATTCTTTACATATTCAAGTTGTAATCCAAGACAAAACTTTGTCCTTCCAAGATCCTTCATTTCAAATTCTTTCTTTAAGCAATTTACTGTTTTTGAAATCTCTTCAGGAGTTCCAATGATATTTAAATCATCAACATAAACAGCAATTATTACAAATTCATTATAAGATCTTTTTATAAAAATGCATGGACAAATAGGGTCATTTTTATATCCTTCCTTCAACAAATATTCGCTAAGGCGATTATACCACATGCATCCATATTGTTTCCATCCATAAAGTGATTTATTCAACTTGATTGAATAACCTTCTCTAGAATTTGAATTGTATCCATCTGATAAATTAAAACCTTCAGGGAGTTTCATTTAAATGTCATTATCAAGTGAGCCATACAAATAGGCTGTAACAACATCCATTAATCGCAAATCAAGTCCTTCATTTGCTGCTAAACTGACCAAGTATCGAAAAGTATTTGTATCCACTACAGGTGAATATGTTTGTTCAAAATCAATACCAGGTCTTTGCGAAAAACCTTGGGCAACAAGTCGTGCTTTATATCTCACAATTTCACCCTTTTCATTTCGTTTTCGCACAAAAACCCATTTATATCCGACTGGCTTTACATCTTCAGGTGTATGAACTACAGGTCCAAAAACTTTACGCTTTGTAAGCGACTTTAATTCTTCCTCAATTGCAACTTTCCATTTTTCCCAGTCACTTCTTTATCTACACTCGTTGACTGATTTTGGTTCATAATCCTCTATATCAGTTATCACATCCAATACTACATTAAATGAAAAAATATCATCAATATTGACTTCATTTTGGTTCCATTGTATTCTATTCATAACATAATTTATTGGGATCTCTTTATTTTCATCATTTTCAGGTACTTGTGTTTCTTCGGGAACTAAAATATTAATTATGTTTGATGACTCTTCTTGAGTCTTTACATCCTCATTTTGGTCACCTTGATTCTTAGTTCCTTTTCTTTTTTGAGGATTTTTATCTTTGGAACCA